TACCTATCCATGTCGGGTACTTGGATTTTTTAATTTTTTTATTTTATATCTTTTTGTAATGAAAAAACTAATTTTTTTTTCTTAATAGTCTTATGAACGTGGACTTGGCGCGATTTTTTTACAGTGAAACTGTTTTTGTTCGGATTTTAGTATTTTTTGTAATTATAATAAAAATTTACAATTGGTACCAACTTAAATCTCGCGTTGGCTGCATTTTTTATAGCAAACTATCCCTTTGAAGCTACAGTTTATGTAAAAATAATTCCAGCGCACCCTGCCGAATGTAGATGCAAGCTGTGAAATATCTTTTTTTAACTGTAGTTTCCCATCTAATGAAAGATTACTATGCAATCTCGAATTATTTAGTCTGTGGCAGATCACTTTGCCCATCGAAAAAAAGTCGGGATCGAAATTTTTGCGTTGCTATAGTTTGTGCTGATCAAATTTAGTAATTTCAAGTAGATTAATTGTTATAAGTGAATATAATTAATTAATAACAGTAAAATAAAGTATGAATTACTGTTATAATATACAATTTAGGAAAAAAAAGTACCGTAGAATTAAATAAAATTTTGCAACCTCAAAATACCGTTCTGCTTACAGTAAACACAGTCGGTAGTAGTAGTAGTAGTATTCTTTAGGCTCTGGGTATTTTCCCATTCGGCCGCTGTACTTGATGGTGGAGTAGTTGTGAGTTTGTAGTTTCTGGGGGTCATCGGTAGGTGTCTCGGTCTGTACTAATTTGAATTTAAATGTTGAGGTCACACTTCGTGAGGAAGTTACAGAGTATGTATGATATTTTAGACGTAGGAGTGGCCAGGAGAGTGATGATGTCGGTCGGAACAGGATCACAAATTTTGGCCAGTATGTTGTTTAATGTTCTTCTTTGGTTTTGGTAGGTTGGGCATTCGAAGAAGATGTGGTTGAGGTCTTGTTCGGGGGATCCACATGGACACTCAGCTGAATCAATGAATTTCTTTCTGTGAAGGCTCGAGTTAAGATTATAATGATTGAGGCGCATTCGGATAATTGTGGTGACGACTTTCCTAGGCAAATTGTAGTGTACGAACCAGGGTTTCTTCGTACTTCTGTATATTTGCTCGAAGTATAGGACTCCTTTCGTCCTTCCTATTTCTTTAAGCTTTTCCTCCGTTGTCTTGATGGCTTTTTGTTTGCTGTTGTTGGCCAGATCTTTGAATGGAATTGGAGTGAAGGTTCGTCGTGCACTGATCACAGCCTCCTTAGCAAGTCTGTCCGCCGTTTCGTTCCCTGAGATGCCAGAGTGCCCTGGAATCCAGACCAGGTGAACTTGGAGTTGTTGTTGTTGTTGTGCCTCGGTCATTTTTGCGGCGATTTTGTAAGTAAGATAGGACCGCTGTTTGTTATCCTGAAGCTGTAGAAGTGATTGAAGCGTGTTTTTGGAGTCACTAAAGATCACTGTTCCTTCTTGCATCTCAAGTGCCACTTCGACCGCCTTGAGGATGGCTAGTGCTTCTGCCGTCGTTGCTGAAGCTTGTTGGTTGATTTTAAAGGTTAGTTGAGTATTGAGAGTGGCATTGTATATTGCTACTCCAACATGGGGCTCGTCAGGGCTTTTAGAGGCGTCCGTATAGACCTGCGTTAGATTTTTGTATTTTTCGTTAGTCATTTTCTCAAATGTTTCAATTGTATCTCTTTGTGACATGTTTGTCAACGTTGCTACGTTGGTGAGGTCAATATTCAGAGGATGTTGGAAGATGGAGTATGTGTGTGTGTATCGGGGATGTGCTATGCTTTGATAGATGATGTCATGCTGCGGAATGGTGTCGTGGTACGAACTGATTGCTGGAAATCTTTTGTATATGTATTGTTTGGACTTGTTTTGAGTTAGACACTCGTCTAGGGTTCGGAGTGTGTTTATGACGGGATTGTTGGTGGTGCTCAAAGATTTCAGAGTGTAGCGGTCCGAGAGGTCCTTGAGCCGGATTTTTAGTGGGATTTCTCCGCCTTCCGCCATCATGGAATTGATTGGAGTTGATATTCGGAGTCCCATGCTCGTTCTTATGGCTTTGTTCTGTACTTTCTCCAGTTTGCTGAATAGTTTGCTGGAGATAGCGTTCATTATGTGACTTCCATACTCTATTTTAGTTCTAATCAATGCTCTATAAATATTGAGAAGAGTTGCTGGGGCAGCCCCCCATTTGGTTCCGCACAGTGATTTGATGAGTGGAAAGACTTTGTTGATCTTCGTTAGGATGTTAGAGTAGTGGTCTTCGAATGTCAACTTTTGGTCAAGGGTGATCCCTAGAAACTTTGCAGAGGTTGTTGGCTTGACTGTCACATCTTTTATAGTGAATGAGATATCTCGAGGATTATAATCATTATGAGTGAAAATGATTATTTTTGTTTTTTCAGGTGAGAGCTGGAGGTTTAATTTTTCTAGATACGCGCTGTAGCTGTCAAGAGAGGCCTGTAGAGCGTCGATTGCGTATTGTAAATTTTTATTCCTACATCTGATTGCCTTGTCATCGGCAAATTCTGCGATTTTGCTGGAGCTATGGATGTGTTTTCCACCATCCGCTGTGTATAGAGTGAATAATAGAGGGGCTGAAACTAGTCCTTGGCCCGCTCCAGAGTTAACCAGCTGTGGTTCTGTTAAGCCATTATTAGTGACGAAGTAGAGTTTGCGTTGCTTGATTAGGTAGTAAAAGAAGAGACAGTACGCAGTAGGAATGCCAGTGTTTACTAGGATCTGTAATAGTATGTCTGGGTTAACGTGGTCAAAAGCTCCTTTAATGTCCAAGAATGCGGTGATGATGAATTCGCCTGCAGCTAGTCCGGTGTATATGTCCCCAACAACGACCGCTAGGTTGTCCGCGGTGCTCTTACCCGTTCTGAAGCCAAATTGTGTGTCTGGAATCTTATTATTGTGTTCTAGCCACCATGTGGTACGATCAACTACTATCTTCTCCATCACCTTGAGGAAACAAGGTGCAAGAGTGATAGGTCTGAATTTACCTGTGTCTCCTTTGGGTAGAAGGTAAACCAGGTGCTCTGTCCAGGCCAATGGATACTTGCTTCGTTTGATAAAGTTGTTGTAGTAGTCGAGGAGACGTGTTTTTAGACTCTCTGGCAATCGCTTTATAATTTCGTGGCTGATTTGATCCAGCCCTGGGCTTGATCCAGATTTGCTGCGGTTGATGGCAGAGTTCAGCTCTGTTAACGTGATGGGTGTTTCGGGAAAGTCGTCAGTGGCTGGTAGAGCTGTATTATTGGCAATTTGTCAAATTAGCTGTTGGGCTAGCGTATCATCCGAGTCGATTCTGCTTTCTTGACAGTACGTTTTGATAAAATCTTGCTTTTTTGGCTCAGCCGAGAGTTCTTGTCTTGGGAGTGCGTGCGGTGAGGTAAGTCTTCGATTTTTAAAGGCCTTGAATTTTTTCCAGATCACCGATATTGGGGTGGTGCCGTTGAGCGTTTCAGTGAATTCTTGCCAGGCTTTTTTTTTAGTTTGATAGAATGTTTGTTTAGCTTTTGCTTCAGCCTGCTTATACTTCGCGTAGCTTTCTACGGTTAATTGCCGCTTCATGATTTGGAGTGCTGCTTTCCTCTCTTCTAGGACTGCTGCGCAGTCGTCATTCCACCAAGGTGCTGGAGTGCGGATTTTTCTGACGGCGGAATTGTCTCTTTGTGGTTGTGTATGGTTTTGCTTGCCACTGTTGTTATGTGCCTTGTTCCCTGGCTTTGTGGCTTCTAGAAGAGGGTCTTTGATTATCTTAATAAATTCATCATATGCTTCTGTGGTTGGTTCGGCTAGAGCACTATTAGCTTCTGCTTTTTGAGTAAGAATGTCTTCAAAGGCTTTCCAGTCGATATTTCTGAGTTTGAGTTTGTGTGTGAAGAAGTTGTATGAGTCAGGAGCTACCCCGATACTGATGTGGATTGGGTAGTGATCACTTCTTCCTGGGTCATCGTGGACTGACCAATGTGAGAATGGTAGAAGCTCAGGTGAGATGATAGTAAGATCTACAGCTGATTGGTTTTCATGGGGATTTGAGATTCTAGTGGGGCTGCCGTTGTTAAGCAGGCATAACTCCGCTTCGTGGATTGCTTCAGCTAGCTCTTTGCCTTGAGGTGAGTTTTTATGACTGCCCCAGAGAGTGTGATGGGTGTTGAAGTCACCTCCAATGAGGAGTGAACCGTTGCGGGGTTGTTTTAGTAGCGACTCCCATGTATTTTTCCGGATCCTGTGGTGGGGCGAAACGTACGTAGTTGCAAATATAATTGGGCCTTGATTCGTGTTGATTTTTATAGCCAGAGTGTCAATTTGGTCTTCAATTTCGAGGAAGTCACTTAGGACTTCAAAGCTTATGTTTGTTTTAACGGCGATTGCTAGGCCTCCGCCGTTGCTGTCTTGTCGATCCTTCCTTATAATATTGTAATTGTTGATATAGAATGGCTCCTCTGGTTTGAGCCATGTTTCAGTGAGGAGAATGATGTCGTGGTCTCGGACCAGGTTCATAATTGTAATTTCTTCTTTTTTCCCCCTTATGCTGCGTGCGTTCCATTGTAAAATTGATGTTGTTATTTTTTTATTATGTCCCGCCATTATAATGCTGAGAGAAAGGTTGTGCTGGTGTTGTATCTAAGTAAAGAAGTTGGTAGTCTTGTTCTGATTCGCTTTCATTTGTTGCCGGGGGAAGCAACATATCGGGCTGTAGCTGCTGAGTTGCATCAATTACGACTTCGGAAAGGTTTTGTGCTGCTTGAGCGAAGTTCTGAATGATTCCTTGGTTCTGGGAGGCTGTGACGATTGGAGTTAACTGCGTCATTATTGCGCTTACTTGTACTAGTAGGTTTTGCATTGTAGTTGCGAAATGTTCTCTTTGAGCCTGAAATGTTTCGATTTGTTGTTGTTGGTATTCTATTGTTTTCGCGATCGTTTCGTTGCACCGGCATTGACATTTTTCCTGTATTTTTGGCCTGTTGATTTGCGTAGTTGTCTGATTAGCTTGAGAATTCCATGCAGTGGCGGCTTGTTTTGAGCGCTTAATCTTAGGGTATTCTTGATTGTTTAAAGGTGGGGGTGAGCGTGGTGGTGAGGATGATGGCGAAGAGTCGTATTGGTGGTTGAGTTGTTGTCGGGCATCATTGAAAGAAATGTTGCACCTGGCTGCTTCTCTGTGTATTTCTCTCTCTGCTTTTAATAGTGGGCACTGATCTGACATAGATTCGTGGTTTTGTCGACAGTTGATGCAGTTGGGAGGCTCATGAGCTCGGGGGCATAAGTTGTCTGCAGAGTGGTCATTTTTGCCACAGTGTTTGCATGTTGAGAGGCTGCGACAGTTTTTGTGTGAGTGTCCGAATCTTAGACAGTTCATACACCTTTTTACTGGGTGCACGTACGGTTTCACTTCAGTCCTAATTTTGTAGACATAAACGAATTTGGGCTTGACTTGTCCGTTGAATGTAACTACGACTGAATTTGTTGGAATGTATTGTTTTTCTTCGTTGATGTGTACAGCTTTCGTGCATCTCCTGATGCTGCTGATGGTAATTTGGTTTGGTACCTCAATGCCTTCATAGAGCTCGTCTAGTGATAATTCTTTCGGGACTTCGTGGATTACCCCTGTGATGAATTTTCGAAATACTGCTGGGATAAAGGAAGAGAGTTGTTTCGCTTGGAAACTTGGGTGGTTTACGAGGTGATTAGCTATGTACATATCTTTAAGCGTTATTAATATACTTTGACCTACCGGTTTTGTTTCCAATACATTGGACTGGATCTCTAGTTCGGTGAGAATGCTGAGAGTAGTCTTACTTAGATGAAGGGGGTGCATCTTGACTCCTTCCTGTTTGTTGGCTGGTTGGACTATGATTTGATACGGACCTTGGTCGTTATCAGTATACATGAGGAGTGCATCTGTTGCCTCGCCAGATTTATCGCCTTCTGTTTGCATAGTTATGTCTTCGGTGTGCGATTCATTTTCACTAGTGCTTTTCTTCTTAGATTCAGAGGGGTTAATGCTGTCATTACTGTCGTGTGGTACGGGATCTCTTTCGATCCTTCTCAGAAATGGTTGTCTGCGTTGAATCTTCTGTGCTGTTGTTTTTGTGAGTGTTGAGTGGGATTTTTGTACTTGTAACTTTATTGTTGTCTGTTTTTTGGTTGTTTTTTGCTTCTGGCAAAGGTCTAAATTTTAAAGTTGCTCGTGTATTGTCTGGAGTTTTGATATTGCCGGGCCCTGTTCCGGGTCCGTTCGGTTTTATTTTTGGCGGCATTTTAGTGTCTCCGTTGTTTAGGGTATAGAACCCTGATTCAAATTTATATTTTAATTCTTTAGTTATTAGCTTGGATATTTCTCATTAAATTTTTAGACAAAAATAAAAACCAACACAGTCGGTAGTCTGGCGCTCCGTTGACAACGGATTTGACTTGGCGCCAGATTCTACCGAATCTGTGGGGGTCGGGGTCATCTGAGTGATCCGAACGGAAATTTAGCCAATGTAATAATTGTAAAGGAATTCAAAAAGTAACTTGCTCTCTAACAAGTTATATACATTTAATACTTCATACATAACACTTAATGTATGTCAAATAATAGTAAATTCTATATAATAAAATACACACATTAAAACATTTAGATATCATATTTATGAAAAAAATTAAACTGTAACCCATGAAACATTACAAAAGAACGACAATTGATCTGTCTTCTAAGTCTTCTAAGTCATGATCTTCATTTTTTGAAACTGCACCAGAACTAAATTTTGATGTTCTGTTTACTTGATTATTTCTTGCAAATAATTTATTGTATATATCTTTTACAAGAGTAATTTTTTTTCGACTTAGATACATGTTTTTGTTTGTATGAACATCTATTTTTTTAGGTTATTATTACTACTAGAATAAACCTTCAATATTTATCACTTGTGATGTGTACATAAAATAGTTACAATATATTTAGTACATAAATTACAAATAAATTTAAAATGAAGTTTGTAATTTTGTAAAAAAATTTTAATGATCTAATAAATCCAACGCATATATATTGATGACAATTAAATTAATTGACATTTAAAAAATTTTATAATTTTTTTTTATTGAAAAAATTGTTATAAAAAAATAAAAAAAAAATTTCATTTGTAAAAAACTTGAAAAACTATAATAGGTAGCAATTTTTAAAAAAAATTTTTTAGTTCTAATTTAATAAATGAAAAAAAAAAAAAAAAAAAAATAAAACTTTAGTATTATTAATAATTTATTATATATTGAATCAATAAAGATTACTTATTTTCATCGTCCTGCTAGGAATAAAAAAATATAGATTTCTGTCATTTAATTATGAAGAAAATTATTACTAATACAAAAAAATTGACGTACCAAATAATCAACACTGAAAGAAAAAAATTTTTTCTTTCAAAATGAGAAATTTTATGACATTGAAATGAAGAGACTATTGATAATTTTTTTGTTTCTTGAAAAATAAAATAATTTTAGAAAATTATTTTTAAAAAATTGCATTCATAATTTTTTAGATCATGTAAAGATCGAATTTTTGAAACAAATTTTTCTTGCTATAATTTGTTTATAAAAAAATTATCATATGTCTTTGAATTTCGGTACCAAGAAATTTTGTAATAAGTAATCAATATATTGAAAATTTTAAACAATTTTATTTTTTAGATGAAGAAATAAAAATTTTTTTGACAGTAACTTTCTTGTTGAAAAAAAAGTTTTTTTGATTTTTAGAAAAATCTATTTTGGATGAAAATTCACAAGTTCTTTATCTCAAATTCTTTTTTTCCATATCAAAAAAGCTTTTTTTCAACAAGAAAGTTACTGTGAGAAAAATTATTTCTTCAGCTAAAAAATAAAATTGTTTAAAATTTTCAACAAATTAATTTTTTATCACAACAATTTTTTTTTCAAACATTTTTCTTCCAGTGTAATAGGAATAAAAAAATAGTACTTAGATTTTTAGAACAATTAAATTATTATGACAAAATATAGTAAAAAAATTCAACATGTAGAAATTTTAAAAAATTGTCAGTAAATTTTTTAAAAATATTTTTTCCATACAAAAATGAAACGTAACAAAACTTCACGTTTCTTCTAAGTGAAAAAAGTTACTGTAAATAAGATATATATATAAGAGAATAGATTGAAACAAAATTACAATAAAAATTATTTATTTTATTTTGACGATTTTCAATAAAAAATTAGTATATCTATATATAAAATACTATTTAATTATCATTGTTACTTTTTATAAATTTAACATTATCAAAAATTTAATTATATTAAGACACTTTATGATACAATGAGTTGTATCTTTTGAAATATTATATAAATTTATAATTCAACTAAAATAATAAATTTAATGGAAATTCTGTATGGCATTATTGATAAAATACATTTTTCAGTGCATCATAAAATTACGATAAGAATAGTTAACTATTTTATAATAAAAAGTTTCAACAATAATTGTCAATCCTATTTACTGAGTATAATTAAAAATATAATTTTTTATAAACAATCATTTTATAAAGAAAAAATAACTATTAATTAATTTAAAATATATTTATATATTACATTAGTTAAAAAATTATTTTTTCGTTATTACCTAAAGTTCTTCGAAAAAGGCAACTCTGGCTTTAGTAGAGCCTGACTTAACTTTTTTAAGAGTACTGTATTTATTTTCACCAAGTCTAACTTGTTCGTCATGGAGTTGGTCTAAATCACATTGTTTTTCCCCAACTTTCATTACTTCTATTTCAGAGCGTAATTCACGCAACTGTTCTTGCAAATGTTTACTTTTTTCCCAGTAATCAACTCTTTCCTTTTCTATTTCTAACGAGAGTTGATCAACATCTCCGTCAGTTATGAGATCATACGATGTTAATTCTGTAGGAAGTGGATCTGTATCTAACTGCAAAGTTTGAAGATCTGCTTGTAAATCGGACGGTAGAACTTGTGTTGATGGAAATATATTTGGTACAGGCTGAAAGTAAATAGAAGATAAATAATTTATTTCCTTTACAGAAAAATAATTTTGTTAATAAAATACTTACTGTTATAGTGGCTGTATAAGCGTTTCTACTTAAAAACTCTAAAAGCTTTTCTTTAGCTTCTTTTTCAGCTATGCGTGCTCGAAGTAATTCATCCTTTAGTTTCTCAGCTTCTGCAGCTCTTCTTTCAGACTCTTGAACCAACCTTTCTGTTAGTAATTCTGCTTCTCTTGTTTTTCGTTCTAAATGAACTTTTTCTTCTTCAGTTTTCATATTATTTAGCCGAATCCGAGTAATCTCTTGTTCAGCTTCGGACGCTTTCTGACTTAATAGCATAGCTTCTTCTTCAGCTACTCGACTTTTTTCTGCTAGTAAATCTGCTGTTTCTTCGGACCTTCTCTAAAATTATAATTATTATTATTATTAGAATAAATATATTAGCAACCTTCACCAGTCATCATGCAACTGCCGAGATTTACAGATTATGAATAAGAAAAATTTAGCTTAATGATTTTTCAATAAATCTAATCAAGCTACACATAGTTTGGGTACTTTTTAGATAAATTTTTAGAATAATAATGCTATCACAGGATCAATTACGAATAATTTAATGGACAAATTTTACGGAAAAAATTTATAGAATCAACAAACTATTTAAAACTTTTCCTAAAACTTAACATAAAAAATTGATTATTAAAAAAAATATAAACCTAAAAGGCACTAATTCTTATTAAGACCTTTTTAATAATACCAAACTTAACTATAAAAATTCCTTTAAAAATAATAATATGCTCGTCATAAAATTTTCCTTACTCTCTTGATAATATAAATTAATTTTTATCATAATAAATTAACTATTGCTAAAAAGCATATGAAACAATGAAAAGGCACAAATTCAGGTCAAGAACTTTCCATAGATACTAAATTTAATTTAAAAAACTCGTTCTATCATATAAATCCGCCGGAGACAAAATTTTTCTTACTCTTTTAATTATATAAATAATATTAACCTTCCGTTACTCGCACTTTCTCTAATGTCTCACTCGTATTTACGCCAACTCTATTAGGTTAAGTAGTGTTGTGCGGGGAATCCCCGCATAGTAATGAAGTAACGAAGTAACGAAGGGTTAAAGGGTTAAAGAGACTTGAGAGTTATGAATCGTTTTCATCTTACCAATGCTTCATTTGCTAGACGAATTTCTTCTTGATATTGAAGTAATCGTTGTTCCATGGCAGCTTTTTCTTTTTCAGCAGCTTCACGTAATTGCTTTTCTTTTGCCAATTTATTCCTTTCTATCTGTCGCCTAAATGAAAAAAATTTAAAGCATAAAAGTTTAAGAAAATTTGAATAATTTACATCCTTAGGAGTTTTATTTTTTTAAAAGAATGATTATGATATTTAATCATTTTATTAATTAAATAAATTTAAAATGAATTTTATTTACCTAGATCTTTCTTCTTTGGCTTGAGCTTTCATTTGCTGAACTTCCATCGAATCGGGTTTACGCCTTCTCATAAACAAGTCATGATTTCCAATGCATAGATCGAGAATCTGAAAAAATTACATTCAATACTAATTATATATATATATATACTAAATAAATAATAAATTCATTAGTTATTAATATCTATATTAAATGACATAAATTAAACTTAAATGATATCGAAAATACTCAATAGTTCTTTTGTTTGAATGTTAAAATTCTAAATAATGTAATAAATTTTATTTACTGATTTTTATTTATCTAAATTAAGCTTTATCTAAATATACTATAGTAATTATGTGATTATAAAATTGTTATGTATTTTTGCCAATCAGCTTTTGCCTTGGCATATAGTTGAATAAATAATAATAAAAATATTAAATATTTACCAGTTTGTTCATGCGAACTTTTAAAGAAAAAAACACAAAATTTGGTGATGACTTTTCTACTGGTTTGATTACAAATTTTTTATCATCAAAGCTTATATGACGTATTTCAGACCAAGTGAATGTAGTTTTTGGAGTTAACTTATTTTCTTTTTCATAAATATTCAACCCAAGTGCTGTTACACCAAGCCATAAATTTGTTTCTTTTTTGTTCTAAAATAAAATAATCAAGAATTATAAACAAAGTTTGATGAATGATTGAAAAATTATTGAGTCAATTTACTGCAGAGTATTTACATTTATCGGAAAGTAATTGACGCCATACATATCAAGATCTTGTGCTATTTTTAAATACTCCATTTCCGCTTCATCACGAGACATTCCTCGATGATCCGCATACCAAATTTTAATACGATCCTCCCACATTTCTGATGTCATTTGATATTGATCAATTACCCTTTGGGGAAGTAAATGTTCACTGGTTAACATTCCTGGTCTACAGGAAACTTCATCGTAATCTCCATACTAATAATTAATAAAACTCAAATTAATATTAAGAATTATTCATGAAATTCAGTAACAGAAAAAAAGTAAATTAATAACCTTTGCTTGTACGGCATAAGATGCTAATAAAACTGAAGCTTCTGGTGGACAATAAATGTCCATTGACAAAATGGCTTGCTTAACTTGAAGAAAAAAAAGATGTTGCGTTACTTCTTGAACTAATTCTTCAGCGACGTCTTCTGGATAAAATTTAGCAAGGAACATAAAAGGTGTGGTTGGTTGCTGAGAAATTCCTTGATCCTGCACTTTTTTATCTAATTTGAGCCATGATATGAACCCTTTAGCATCTTCATATTGAAGACCAAAGTACCATGTTTCTCTTAATCCTATTGTTCTGCAAACTAGATCAAATAGATCTCTCCCCGTAGCTCTCCACTAAAAAAAAATTGTAATTGCATGAGAAATAAAAAAAAATTTTTATATTTTATAAAATATAGTACTAACCTCCAAATTAAATTCTAATTCTGCATCTAGAGTGCAAACTTTAATAGGAAAAGACTTTCCTGATTTTTTACGTCTAAATGGTGGCATTTTACTTTTCATTTTTTTTTACTCAGTCATAGCAGAATATTATGAAAAAAAAAAAAAAATTCATAAACGTTTAACATATTTCATAATAGGTACTTATTATAGAAGTCACTTTAGAGGATGTTTTTCATGTATATTGAACATTTTTCAATAACATAAAAATTTAAACACTTTAATTACAATGAATTTTAACAATTTAAATCCAACACCCTGACGTTTGATATTATTTATTGCGGTTTTCCCAATACATTTTAACTAAAATAATGATAACAATTAATCATAGAAAATATAACTTATTCTATTCACTGAAATGATGGGCGTCAATTACACAAATAACAACAAGAAAATTTGGCTACGGAAAATTTTCTAAAAAAAAATGTGACATATTATAGTGTGTAGTATATACAAAAGATAAAACAAATATGCACTTATTATAATTATTATTTTTAGTTTGTCTGGGTCGGGATAGTAGAGTTGTTATATTAAGATGACGTCACACGCGTCTACACAGTTACATTTAAGCGCGCTTGTTACATGCCTGTGTAAAATAATATTCAAAATATATTAATTATTATTTGTAATTTTTTAAGCGATTAATTACTCAAAATTTATCCATTGATTATTGCAGTGAGAGTTTATTATTTTACAATATTGCGAAATTTTGTTTATATAAAAAATGATAATTTTTAATTTGAAGATTTCAAGGTACATACTAGTAGTAATAATTTTTGGCAAAAATTATTGGAAATTGTTCAAGGATCATAATTGTAATGTTTTATTTGGATTTACTTAAACATCAAATGAAAAAATTAATTTTAACTCCAGATAATCAGAGAAAAAAAATTATAAAATAGTCTGATAATTTAAAAAAAACATGATACTGGAATCAGCAGAGATATCTGACAGTTTTTTTGATTTCTATTAAAAAGTTTAAAAAAAAAATATTACTTAAAAATTTACATTTTAAGAATGTTTTAAATTAATGAATTATCGCAAATAAATGAGAAAAAATTGACATGTCGAAATTTTAATAAATTGAAAGTGCAATTTTTTAAAAATAATTTTTCGAAACAAACTTGCTTGTTGAATAAAATTAAAAAATAATCAAGTGACAGCTAACTTAAACGTCATGGACTTGTAACTTGTAATTATTTTTAATTTCTAGATGTGGGATTTCTTTATTAAAATTTTTATGATACTTACTGAAATTGAGAGACATCTGATAATTTTTAGAGATTATTTAACAAATAAACTATGGCAAGAAAAATTTATTATTTAAAAAATTCCATTTTTAGAAGCTTTAAAAAATTCTAAATGTAATGTTTAAAAATAATTTTCTTGATCGAGTTTCGTTTCCAAGAAAAATCAAAAAAATATATCAAGTGTCTGCCGCTGTGCATTAGAATGCTAGTCAAAGAAAGAGTGCGCATGAATGTGTGATAAAGAATAAGTAGAGATAATTAAGAAATAAATTTAAAAAAGTGAGGAAAACCGTGTGTGGAAAATAGTACGGGATATGTTAAAATATTGTAAAAAAGCAATGTACCCAAAAAAGTGGTGAAATGTATGCCAAATATTAAAATTAAAATTAATGTAATTAATTTAATACTATGTAATCCACATAAAAACGAGCTAAATAGAAAAACAGCGCTGCTTGTCTTTCTATTTAGAAAACATTTTGTAAAACACTGCCTATGTGATACAAATAAAATCATTATTATTATATCAAGTGTCTGCTTTTAGTTGTTATAAAAATCCAAAAAATTGACAGATATTTTTTAATTTTAATATCACAAATAAACCTATTTTTTTAATTTGATAATCTAGAATATTATTAGAATTTTATTCGATTAAAAAAAATATTTTGAGTATTATAAAATCAATGAATTGTGCAAAAATCGCAAAATTAAGATTTTACTCCAATTTTCTTAAATCAATTTTTGCAATTTTTAAAAATTTTCCAGCAGTGGGAAACGAATATATGCAGATGAATATGATTATATTAGAAGTCCAATAATTTTGTAAAAAATTATACTAAACTTAGTTGACACTTAAATAATTATTTAATTTAAAAAAAAAAGTATATTAGTTCTAAAAAATTATTTTTTAAAAATTGCATTTATAATTTTTTAGAGCTTTTAAATGTGAAATTTTCCAACAAATTTTTCTTGCGATAATTTATTTGCTAAAAAAATTCTAAAAATTATTTCAATTTTAATATCATTATAAAAACAATAATAAAAAAAAAAACACGTCAAAATTTTTAATAACTTCAGTGCAATTTTTTCTTCATTACATTAAATTAATTAAAAATTTTTTATAAATTAGCTATCGAGAAATGTTATTACTCATTTTTAAAGACTATATTACTCAGAACTAATTAGTAAAATAAACGCGCACATTTATTAGTTTTGAAATTTTTAAGATTCTGTATGACCCTGAAGTTAGCGGATAGCAGACAAAATAATTTCGAGTTTACCAAATTATAAATGGTTTTTGTCGTTGACTTACCTACAGATGATAATAAACAAATTTTTTTTTTGTTAATAAAAAATTTTTTACATTAAAAATTAAATTTTGGGAAACTCTCACCGTGTTTCCTATCGTTTCATACATATGAAATTTTCAAATTTAGTTTATTTTTAAATCCAAAAAAGATGATTTCAGTTAGTTTTTTTAATTTTGGCTTAGGGCATTCTGGGACGTATATCTGCGAGTAAAATGATTATTATTA